GGGGGGGGGGTCTTTGGGAGCTTTTATGTGCTATTTTCTGATTGCATATAGGCAACATAGCCGGCCTGGTTGAACTACCCCCGTTCAAGTTGGGCAAATCAGAAAACAGCCGAAGACCACCAAATCCCCATTTCTATAATCCTGCTACGGAGACTCACTGGATACTTTTAGCTGACCAGTCACTTACTAAAGTTTCTCTATATCATAGTAACCATCCCTATTCCCTACAGGTGTTCAGTAATGACCTGTGGACGTGGACCAAGCTGTGTGCCTGTGTGGGAGCTCTGCTCTTCATCATCTCAGACACGCTTCTGGGCGTGAACAAGTTCCGCCTGCCCATACCCTACAACCGCGCCCTCATCATGACAACCTACTACGCCGCACAGCTGGGCAAGTCAAGTCAATCTTTATTGCACAACAATTTTAATGGGTACAATGCATGGCAAACTCTTCAGTATTTCTTTCAAATAGCTCTGTTAGCATTTGATTTAACATTTCAATGTCTTTGGGTGGTGAGACTACGGCGCACAGATATGTCAACTTTGTATATTTAAATTTTAATTGTACCTTTTTGTGTGTGGCGCTGTTAATATAAGTTGTAAACTTGAGTGCAGCGTCACACTGTCCTTGTTATGTTTTTATGTTTTGATGAATAAAAAAAACTCTTCAGTACTGCATATCTAGCGAACATCTACTCTCACGTCTACAGTAATGCTTACAAGTTCTATGTTCTTCGGTGTAGGACGGACATGATAACAGAAAGTGTATTTCATTTTCGACAGAATATCTTTACAAGTAGGACATCGTCTGTGAGTGGCTGGTACGTTGTTTAATATGACGACCTTTTTTCTATTTAGGCATCGCCCTGTCGGTCGCCGACCTCAAGCCTGACCCCGCTGATGACGTCACCACGTGCGGTGCACCTGCCGCGTCATCAGATGACGTGCACTGTTCGAGTTCGAATTCCAAGGGCGGTGCACCTGACGCGTCATCAGATGATGTGCACCGTTCGAATTCCAACTCCAAGGGCGCGCTTGAGCTGAATGGCATAAAGTCGGGGTCCAATGGTTTTAGTAACTTTTTGTGCTGTTCAAAATATAAGAAGATGGAGTAAAAGTTCATGACACAAAAACTGACAAAAAGTTTATGTCCTCTTTGGATTCACTTACAATAGATTAAGATGATAACGCCTTTGGTTTAAAACACAGGCTGTAACAGTGTCGTCATCAGGTGACGTGCACTGTTCGAATTCGAATTATTGCGCAAGGGCGCACTCGAACTGAAAGATATGACGCCGGGGTCCCATGGTTTTAGTAACTTATTGTGCTTTTCAAGAAATAAAAAGATAACTTTCATGGCACAAAAACTGACTAAATGTTGATGTTGTTCAACAAGGAGAAATCCTTATAATCCTCAATTAACGTTAATAACAGTGGCCTCAAACGTAAAGCTGGTTACAGTTAAGTTTATATATACACAGGATGCAACAATGAAACGTAAACGGTGTTGCGAAATGTTGTTCAAGCAAAAC